TAATGATCAATTAGTATGATTTAATATGATAYGATGTGATAAAAATGTATTTGATTTTGATATAAGCTCAATGTGTACCGTAAATGATCAACCCCTATAGAATCCTGATAAAAATCGTTGTCCACTCTCTTCTTATATAGCCTTTCTCTACTTTGAGATACTAATACTTAGTGCATACGACTTCACCATGACGTTATAACCAACAAACGCAGACAGCGAGAACGTAGAGAATTCTGTCGATCGGTTGTCACTCTATAGGACAGATGTATTTCGGTGAATGATCTTTATTTGCGTCGTGGAACGTCATACTAGACGGCAAATGCTTCGAATACTTTATCTGCGCAATGTTGTCCGGTGGCGGCGTCACGAACGAGTTGAATATACACGGGCATTTGTAGTCCGTTGCTGGCGATTTTTCCATTAATTTTGGTGTACGCGCGTTAAATAGTTTCTGTGAAAATATTCGCTCGGAATAGTAGACGAAAATAGCCGTACGATAAAACGATTATCGGAATTCAGATTGAAACGACCACGCGTATATAATAATATATTTTAAAAAAAGATAACGATCAGTGACTGTCTTTGCTCGAATATTTCAGTTGTAAGTATAGTAATTTTTTGGCGGCAGCGCGTTTATGTATTATTGCTGTCGTATACCACATAATTATTATGTTGTAATAAAAGTATCAAACGCACGTCGACCAAATCGTCGATCCATATAGGAGGTTAGGTTAACTTTTGACCTTTTTCCTTGAGCCGATCTAYCATACAGTCAATACAGATGAGAACCGCTATAAATGTCACTTCCCCAAATTATACTACATCATATTAAATATTAGGTATACTAAATCATTATACTTCACTAGTATTATATTAAATTAAAGAATAAAGCAAAACTTCAATTTTKATATCAAAAAAAACAAATCATGATCGTGTTCGACAAAATAATAAACATATTATAAGTTATCCTAGTCATTGTTATTTACTAAAATATGTTATAATAATATTATGTATTTCATTTAGTATATTAGGCTATTTTTATAGAATTAACACTATTAAGTCAAAAATGCTTCTTAAAATACATAATACACCATAAGTATCTACAACTTACTATATTTTATTTTATTCAAAACATTAAAAACGTAATCGTATAGTAGTCTTGTATTTTTTTTTTTTTTTAGATTATACAGTTAAAATCCAATCTGTGATTTGGTTTTATTTTTGCGAATTCCCATTTCAAGTTAATACAATTACTATGAAAAAAACCTATAATAAGTATATCATGCATATTATATTTAAATTATAAATCTTTCTATCTACAATAGTAATCGAACGTTAAGTAATTGGTTTTCTATATGCACAATGTACTCGGTATTTTTCTGTGTATAGGTTAACAGCTTAATGTTTTAACTCGCGGGCATTTATTTAGTTTATTTTTGCTTGTGTATAATACAATATTTATGTGAGTGTGTACGCCTAACGTTATAAATATGCAGACCGACAATGTCTTACGATGCTCGGTTGTGCATAATAAACATGCTCGTGTCGAGTGATGTGCAATAAATTAGCGCACGTCCGGTTAATATAATACATAATATTATGATATCGACAAATTATAACGTTATATGCATCCCGTTTCGAGGATTACTGTATAGTGTATATCTCGTCCGTCTCGAACGAGCGGTCATCGCGGGGTTCCGGTGGGGTCGTAGGTATATTATATATTATAATGATGAAACAAATAAATACACGTCGTAAATAATATTTTATCGGCACTATAATATATTATATGTACTCGGGTGAACGTTTTACTCGCCATCGTATAAATACATTATTATAAAAATGTGTACCTCTGCACTCCTGGCACGGGATATTAACGAATAAAAGTCGGGCTAATATATTTTGTATATTATAATTAAATGTGTAAAACATAAAATAATAACGCACCGAAAACTAGTTATCTGGTCTGCGCAATATAAGTAATATCGTAGATTTTGCGGTTATAAATCCCGTGCAGACGTGTCGGAATAGATATTTTAAAGACCCRCTCCCAATTGACATTACTGAGCGAGCGACTTCTTCAATCGCGGAGCATAACATGGTGAAATCATTGTACAGACATTAGACATGCATCATCGTCCATAAACATCACGGGTCTATAGTAATAACTTATAATAATAAAATGCAGTTGGTTATAAGTCTACAGTGGTTTAAAAAAAAATTAAAAACCGTAAACGTTTGGATGTATGTGATGTACATAATATTTTGTTATAATTATCACTTGGTGAGGTACAGTGGCGTGGCAAAGAGTAATCTCAGAGGCAACTGCCTCTGGGATTTTTCAAATATTGGGTGGTGGGTATCAAGGATTGTACTTATTTACATGCAAATACATGTGGGGTGGGTCTTCTATAAGGGGGGTTGCCTCTGGAATATTTTTAGTTCACCACGCCACTGGTGAGGTATATATACTGCCTCAGGACAACGTCAGTTYTCACCTTTTAGCCACACAAATCGTTAATATTATATTCTTACCTAGTTTACATATTTTTTTTCGAACCATATACTATCCGTAAAAATTAAATGATGACAAATATAGGTACTCGAATCTATAATACTTTAAACCAAAAGGAAACAAACCAAACACGCGTGACTCTATCTATGTTTTTAATTTACAAGCTGAAAACGATTGTTCCAGTAAAAACAAGATCGATGAGATAATAAGATTAAGTATTCACTAGTTTCATTTTAATCTCGGTCTCTATAACTAGTACATGATAATGTAGTATCATCAGTTCTCGTTTTCTACCAMCACGCACGTCCTTCTTAACGGAAAGAAGAGTATCTACACACATAGTATTACAATCACCACTGATCAAAATATTTTAAATATTTTACCTACAAGTATACAATATCTACCAATACATATTATATTCGATGCCATTGAAGCAATTTTATCCACGATCCAGTCACGGGAAACTTGTCATTACAAGCTACATAAATTGCAGGCCGTCAGAATTATTATTATACATAGGTACTATTATCGTGTAATATTCAACACAATTTTTTGGTTTGGCAGCTATAGTAATAAATTATAATATAGGGTGGGAGGAGTACAAACTTCTTATTCCTGATCGTTTTCTCCTCAAATTTCCTCTCGACCATTTTTCCGTCGATCGTCAGACTTTTCCGCCACCCGTCGACACGTCAAAATCCTATAACAAGCCTATAGTGCACGCAGGCGCATGTGTAGACATCAAAAACGACGACGACAAGCACTTTAGTGACGGGTGGGTGGAAAACCATTAACAACCGACGACAGGGGTGGTGAAAAAAAATGCACTCCCCCTCCGTGTGTCATTATCGAACATACATACGCGCTCCCGGGCCGTGCTGTAATCGATTTGCCGCAGGCGCTCAAATATACCATTTCTCGCATCGGTGATATAATATTATATCAGGAGAAGTCGTGTGTCGTTTGACGATGTAGATGTATAAAATATCATTATCAGGACGTATACGATTTAATGTAGTATGTTAAAATATATTATATAAATGTTTATAGTAATATAAAGTCAAAATCGCGAGTTAGATTTTAAATTATATTTTATTTTATTTCACGCTACTGGTGTACGCGCCATGTTWGTCATATTATTATAATATTGTGATTTTTATGTTACAAGTCAAATCAATACTGCACGCGAGGCTTTAGAAATAAATCAAGTGTCGAGTAAATATAGATAGCTTCACCGCGGTATTCTCCCCCGCCCATCCTTGCACGAAAACTCAACGCGTATTGTTATTATTATCGTCGCCGTGTCCGAAGGGGGTTAACGTCCTCTTCCTTTTCTTTTTATGACTTTCCGATAAAGCTATTTGGATAGTCGATCGCTTTACATATTGTATAAAGTAGAGTTATGCTTAGAGATTCGTCGCTTTAAATAAAAACATTATCTTGGCGTTGTATAATTCGCATTTGTAATATTGTCGAAAAATAAAGAAAGTTGTCAGTTTCTATCGAAACGAGATCCTAACTTAACCTCGTGTCCTCGTTGATCACAATTTCGAAGGTTTTGATGACTTGTCGAACATACTATAGCGCAGACTATAATATTAGCACCTATTGTTATTGATTAAAAATACCCGTGTCAATGCTATTACCACCAACGCGAATTCTGACACAATTTCTCACTCAATTTCGTTTTAGATTAATTCAGTCATGTACCTACGTGGATTCTTGCGATTGGAGTTAGACAGGATAAAAATATTTATTTACTATAAAACTATTTTATTTATCATTATACATATTTGCAAAGTTTACTTTAATTTTATATTTATATTTTTTTTGTTCATTACACAACAGATCAGTACCCGTCTGTAGCCACTATACAAATTAAATAAATCGTTAAGTTTAGCCCTAAAATCAATAAAAATAACTTAGAGTCTCGAAGTATTATTTTAGAGACGAGTATAGGTATTTAATTTTTTAACTAGGTACGTCATGCATGATTTAATCGTGTTTATTTTATATATTTCTGAAGTTAATAAGTCTTAAAATTTTAAACTAATTAAATACTGCTGAGTAAATATAGGTAGGTACATTGAAGTTTGACAACATTTCAAGTTAATAATTTTTATAATTTAAACAGTACGTGCGTACGACAAATTTTCGTAGCTGAATTATTATTAACAAATGCATTGTTCAACATATTTAAATTCGATTTTAATCAAAATATACTTTTAGGTACTTAATGATTTTTTTAAAAATCAAAATTGGTAGTTAAACCGATTTATACCTACATCATATTCCACTCTGTGGATTATAATTAAGTGTTATACTTATAGGTCCGGACCGAGATTATTTTAATTTTATTAAAATTAAAATTAATTGAAAATCATTATTAAAAAAAAAAAAAATTTAATACTTAGATTTTGAAGAGCATAAGTGGATAATAACAACAAAAATAATAGGTAGAACGAGGTTTTAATGTTACACTTACCGACGGTAAAGGAGTTAAATAATCCGGTCTCAAATATTGGTTTTCGTTACTCATGATCATGGTTCACACTGCACATGCACACTCGAGTGTATGAAACACCGGACGAATTAATAATATTTATAAAAAAAAATTTTCTTTTAACAATTTTTGTAAAAATAATGATCAATACAAAATCCAAAACGAATTTATTAATGACGGGCGCACAGACACACTATAGAGCGTACAATAATAATAATAATAATAATAATAATAAATAAGACGGTCGAGGCAAGACGACGGAGACGTATGGCAAACAGTTGCACGGACGGACGTCAAACGGTAACGGTCTTCGGTGTAGCACTACTGGTTAGGCCGGTCGGCCGGTGTAGCTTGAGTGCGGAGGCGAGCTAACGATGCGCCAACGTTGTTCTCACTTCTCAAAGCGATCGCCGGACGGTGGCTCCGTCTACCGGCGGCAAGGGCGCGC